CTTCAAAACATACGGCAGCACTCTCGCCGGTTTGCGAGTAATTATTTAATTAAACTAAACTTTAAAATAATTCCAAAAATTAAATGCTTAAAAATAGGCTAAGTTGGAGTTCCCTCTAAATTGTTGTTGCAGGCGTTGGGCTATGACATCGATGCCGATGATTACCACGGGTAAGAAACAATCATTGTTATCGTTAAATTTATTCGAAAGAAAAATATTTTTTCTACGTTTGCTTTATTTGGAAACCGTTTAGGATTAACTCTTGACTTTCTTTATTACTTTCTTTTGCAATTGCCAGTTTCGTGCACGGAAGATTGCCATACGCCATGATCAAGCCAGACCCTCAGCTACGTAATCTGTTACGTAGCATCACCCAGAGAAAAATCGTAAGTTTGAAAAAAAAAAAAAAGAAAAGGAAAGTCATCAGAACGAAATCAAATTGCTTACTACTTCGAGATGTTCAACGTTTTTCGTCTCTTTTTTGTTTGCAGATTTTTACGAATTCGGACAGGGTTCATGCGATTAAGGTTCTGAAGAGACTAGGATTAGAGGACTGTTTCGACCAAATCATTTGTTTTGAGACACTGAATCCTAATTTGCCGAAATCAACTCGTCCCGATGAATTCCCTGTCGTCTTGAAACCTTCAAAGGATGCCATGAAAATCGCTCTCGATGTCTCCCATGTTGATCCCCGACGCACGGTAATTATTATTACAAGAACCTCATTAATTTAATTCCCTTTTATTTTTTTTTCCTATTTTGTTGTTTTGATGGTGAATGTGAAACTAAATTATTGTAATTTTTCTTTTGTGCAGCTGTTTTTTGATGACAATGTTCGGAATATCGCCGCTGGAAAGGCTTTGGGCCTGTGGGCTTGTCTGGTAATTTCTTTTATTTAAAATTAATTTTAACAAGGAAAATCTCAAATTATTTAGCATTACTCCTTAAATAATATCCAAGCAATGCTTTTGCAATTAATTAATGTAATTATTTCTTTCGCGTGTGTGTGTGCGTTTGAAGGTTGGAAAGACCGTCAAGACAAAGGAAGCGGATTATGCAATCGAGACGGTCAACAATTTAGCACAAGTAATACCAGAAATGTGGGTCAACGAAGCGGATGGTGATGAAAGGATCAGTAGAACCAGGAGTGAATTGGAAGCTATTCTGGCGGCAACAACACCCGTTGGAGCTTGATCAATTCAAGATCTCCGGGGACCTAATTGACAAAAAAATGTTGGATTGTCGGGTTAGCACTTAAGGTCCCATATTATGTACACAATCATGTTAATCATGTGGATAGCAATATGTATCCAATGTGCATCTATTGATATGTGTACCAAAGTGGGCTATCCCATCAAGTAAATAAAGTATATAATAAATCATTGCTTCAATTTCAATTGCAAGGTTATGGACTTATGATTTCTGCTTCAATTTAAAATTTTAAGTTTTAACTCACCAGATATTTTCTTTAAATATAAACCATTCATTTTTCTTCAAAATGGAAAGTAATTATCAGACAAGAATTGGTGCAAGATTTGTTTACTGATGAAAAGTAGGAAAATAAAATTCTAAAAGAATATTAACATGTTAGCGATATATAATATCCAAACTCACTTATTTTAAATCAAAGTCATATATTTTTATCTTTATTCTTGTCTAATTTCACATTTTACTTTGTGAGAAACTGCAGATAAATTTGTGAATAGTGATATTCAAGTAAGGGTGGAGTTAATCAATTTTTATTGGAAGGTCAAAGATAAAATACAAAAAATTAAATATAATATATAAGATTAATAATTTTCTCTTATATAAACCGTATTGTTTAAAGACTAAATACTCAAAGATAATTTTTTTTAACTAAATATAAAACATAAAACATATAAAAAAAATCTTATATAATCAAAATTAATAAAATAATAATATATTAGTGAAATTTTATACAACAATTAATAATACAACGCTACAACAAATATTTGAGAACACATAACAAAAAATAAATATGGCAAGTAAAAGATAGACCTATATAACAAAAATGAACAGTTTAGTTAATGATTCATAGAAATTTGAAGAAGAAAATTTATAGAAACTTAAAACATATGATCAAATAAAATAAAATTTAAAAAATAAATATAAATAATAATATATATATAAAAGAAAGATAAAAATTTTTTTAACTCTGTAATTTCACAATGAAATGATAAAAGAGAAAGAGAAAACAAAAAGAAAGAGATAAAAAGAAATATGACGAAACTTAAAAGGAAAAATTTTAAGAATTAGAATAAAATTAAATGAATTTATAAAATTATTTTATTATTTTTTATTTATATTAATAATTTAATAAAAAACTATTTTAAAGCTCATTAAAAGAATATATGTGATGTATAAAAATTTTTAAAATTTTTAGGAAGGGACGCTCGGCCCCTGTACACAAGGTTGCTTTCATACATAAGCTTCATTTATTTATTGAACCAGATAAGATTAAATATAATGCTGATCCAAGTAAGCCAATCTCATACTCCCACCAGTTGGTGTCACCCAAAAGTGAATCAGATAGAAACATGAACCACCACCTTGTCATCTTAATGTTAAAAAAAAAGAAGAGAGAGAAAACCAAACACCAGAAACCACATTAAATAATTATTCACTTCACGAAAGAGAACAAATTATTTGATACACGTAGTAGGGGATTGATTGCATGGCTCAAAGATAAAAAATTTGTGGTTGTTAAGGGATCAATGGATGTTCTTTTCATTCTTAAATTAAATAATCATTAATCATAGTTAATTAGCCGAAATATTAAGATGATTATGTTGCTGATAAGGACTTTGGGGTAGGGTCAATCACATCTAAGGTTTGTTTAGTTGATTATAAAATAAGAAGTGATGCAGACTTTAATTAGGTTGAGATGGGAATTGTCGGTGTCCATAGTCTATAAAAAATTAATTGTTGGTCATGTGCTTCGGTTTTTCATTAGTTTCTTAAGCACACGATTAGGGATTGTGACGGGTGGTTGAAGATCATTTAGAATTTGAAGATAATCTCAAAGAGAAAATTATCTATTATAGAATTAATTTGATATTTAAATTTGTGAGAAGCTCTTCATAAAAAGGATTTAAATTATCAATCATAAAATTTTAACAGAATTAGAATAAATATATGATACGTCTATCCATTAAAATTTTTTATCATTAACATGAATTATTATTTGTTATAATCATGCAGCTTGTCTTATTTTTCAGGTGTTGAGTTTTTGTTGAGAAGTTATGGGGTGGGTTTTGAAAACTTAAAAAGTAGGAACGATTGGGATGGGAGCTTTTCTTTATGCTTAAACTTGGGTTTAGAGAAGAAGCTAGGAGGTCTAGGGATAATTTGGAACTGTTTTGTATGTGGCATTGTGCTGTGTGATTGCCTAATCTCAAGGTTGATTTTGAATGTAACAAGTCTAGGAATCGGAGGGCACGGCTTTGAGTGAGCTAGGACAGGTGGAGGGGGAGGGGGAAGCTATTGAGAAGAGGGGACTGCAACGATAAGTTGGAGATGTGACATAAGAGTGATCGGCGTGGTCCTGGTCTGTCTGGTGTTGGCCCATTATGTGACGTTGTTTTTTCGGAAAGGAAGTATGATGCTGGGTTCGAAGTGATTTTGTCTTTTCTTCGGATTTTTGGAAAGGCTCAAGGAAGGAACAAAGCTAATGCAACGTTTATCACGAAGGATTGTGTGTTGGTTATGTTGATGCCTGGTGTCTGATCTTTGCAAAGAGGTTTCTGTTTTGATGGACTTGCTGATCATAGGTCCAAGGTCATCTCCAGGCCTTTTTGGAAGGAATAAGTACATCTTAAGGACAGATGCGATGTTGCAACCTCTCTTGTTGCAGGTAGATGCTCATTCGATCAGAGTTGAGAGATCTGTTTCCTGAGCTATGAGATATGCTGGGCAGTGGCAAGGTTATGGTTACATTCTTTGAGGACCCTTTAGCCTGTGGATGTCTAATGATCGTTGATAGTTTTTTCCTTTTTTGCTTGCATATGTAAATAGAATGGAACACAAACATGTAGTTGTTTCCTGGTAGTTTGAACTAGTGTTAGGTCCATGTGCTGCAACGGCCATAATTTTTTTGTTGAAGGGCAAGTTGAGCACTCTTTGTTTGTAGATGGTTGTATCTTTTGAGGATGGGCTGCCATTAAATTTCTGAGCAGCCAAGTTTGTACTTAATGTACTGTTAATCTCGCCTGAGCCGTCTTTTCCATGCCTTTGGGAGTTTTTGGCATCGACCTTAGACTAACAATGGCATATAGGCAGCAGCGGTTAATAAAAATCAAACTTTCAAAAAAAAAGAATTATTATTTATTTTTTTGTGAATAACTTCAATTATTATTTATTTATGCATTATGATGATAACAGGAGCTACTCCATGTGAAATTATTCAAGCAATTTGTTACTGATAGACCGGCCAATATACTTCTCTCTAAATGAAGCCGATCATTTTAATTTGATTGGATATTGTTTACATTTAAATAAGAAATTAGGTTTGAAATTAATAATTTTTTTATAATTAATATATATAGCTTTTCCTGTAACAATTGGCATAATCAGATTATTTGGTTCAAACATTTTGGTTTAATTTGATTCTTTATGTGGGCTTCTTTTTTAAGTAGCCAATGAACTTAATCATTTTATATGGTTGAAACATTTTGGTTTAATTTTCTTTTCAACATCTAAACATTTACTTCCCTCCTCAATGAAATCTACTACTAGCAAATCATGAAATTTGCTTTGATTCAGACGTGGAATATTGTCCGGTTCTGCGCAGAGTAAAAGTTTCACTTAGTTGACTCTCTTTACATATTGTTAGAGGTAAATGTCCATTATATACATGTTTCAACAATTCTCTGAAGATAGTTTGGAAGTCGGAAAAAGGAAATTGATTGAAAAAGGATTGAAAAAGAGGAAGTTGGGTATCCTCCCTCTATGCCCAGAGCAACAGAAAAAGGATTATGGTGTGTGAAAATCCTATAAGTCTAACATCCAATAAGGGGCAAAAGCATTAAAGAAAGTTGCAAACCTTTGCTATTCAGTCATGCAGCTATTTGAAAAGGGTACTAAAAATACAACAAACAATATTGAACACATAAATCACAAATAATACATCATAAATAACCTTAATTTTGCTCTCAATCCTTACAGATCATAGACTTGCTTGCCAGTGAACTTGACCTCAATTGGGTTAACATTCTTTCCAATGTTCCTGAAATTCAGTCCCACTCCTTGGCGACCAGGGTTCACTTTCTCAGGGTACACTCCATCTTTGGGATGCAAATACTGAACTTCGCCATTGGGGAACACCCTGTAAAACTGATAGTTGATCTTGTACTTGGACCTCAGCCTAGTCCCCAGAGCCAAGCACTGCTCCTTCCTAGCCAATTTGAGCAGGTTCGGACCTTGCCTCATGATGGCTGCTCCCCCTGTTGGCATTTCAAATATTTGTTCCTTGGGTGACTCCCAAGTGATCACATAAAACTCTTCCACTTGTGCCTTACGTAACAGCCCGCCGGTGCTGCCAGCAAATATTGGCGATGGGGTACTTGGGTCCAGCTCTGGTGGGGTGAACCCAACTGGAGCCTCCTTTGTGGCAGTCGCAGCTTTCTCTTCGGCTGCTTCTGCCCTGATGGTGCGGGGTGCAACTTTTTGTGACTTGAAGCTAGGGCGTGTCACGCATGATGCTTGTTTCCATGGCACAGCGACTCGGTCGCTGGATTTTGGGGCGGAGAGGGTGGTTGGAGTGAAGAGGGAGGCTTGTGTTGCCATGGCCATTGAGAATTGAGAGATTGGAATTGGAAATGGCTAGCGATATTTTTTTTGGTAATGAAATTTGGTTTTGTGGAGATGAAGAGCGTGGCCCTAGCTAGAGAATAGGTGGTGGAAATGTTGGCAATGGATAAGGTGGTGGTAGGTGTTGGACCAATTAGAAGTTGTGATTTTGATACTTAGGCTTACCCTTTCTTTCTGTAAGCCTTTTCCCTTTTTTTTTTTAATTTTTATTTTTCCAATCCTTACAGAAACAAAGAAAATATATAAAATAACCAATTGCCAGTGCTTTTAGATGCAATTTTTTATCAAGTGTTATTAAAAGAAGTAATAAGATTCAAATTTATTACTCTACTTTGAATTTGATTTAAGTGATGGATCAAATTTATCACTTATCTTTAAACGTATGTAATTTTATAACTGTATTTTATAACTTGATAAAAAAAACTCAAAATTTACTTTGTGATTTAAATATAAATTGTCAAAAATTAACAGTAAAAGATAATTTATTAAAAATTAAAAAATAAAATATATTAATATCTTAAATTTTGATTATAATTTCACGTGAATTCATTAATATTTGAAATAGACCGTTCACTTCAAAAGAATATCATTTATTTATTTTAAATAATTGTAATTTTATAATTGCACTTTATAATTTGATTCAAAAATTAAAAAATTATTTTTTAATTTAAATAAAAAATTAAAAATTAAATGTAAAAAATATTTTATTAAAGATAAAGTAATATTTAATAAAAGATTTTAATTTTTGATTTTTTTAATCAAATTAAAAAGAATAATGCTAAAATTACACAATCAAAAAATTAGTAGTAAATTTGATGTTCACCTTAAGTAAAGTGATAAATTTGGATTTCATTCCAAATAATAAAAATTTGCAGATTAATTATTCATTGAACGATTAAAATCTACGGTGATATTTTTTTAGAATATAATCTAAGTAAACTATTTTTAAAAGTATGGAATATTACTTAAAATCTATCCATTCATAATTAGTTTAGGGTTTGGATCTTATGATATTCAAAAAAAAATTAATAGAAATACTTCACTAAAAGTTTCCTTAAACCCACATCAATTCTACCTTTTTTTTTTTTTTTTTGCATGGGACAAGTGTATGTTTCAAAATTTCTTTTTTTTTATATAAAAAAAAAAGGCCCTGAAAAGGATACGCAGGAAGGGTAAACGAAGTCGTTTTTAGTACTTTCAAAACAAGAAATAGTTCTTTAGCAATTCCCTTGCGCAAACATGTGACTCCTGCAGCATGCAGCCAATAGGTAGGAAGTCAGATTGCGAGAGTGCTGTGCCTTTGCTTTCTCATTAGTGGAACTTGGAAACAACTTTGCTGTTCACCGCTCTCGCTGGTGCCAATTCAAATTGAGTACAGTGTTCTTTGGTTTTTTCTCTCTAAAACTTTTTTGGTTTAAAGCAATGAGATCTTCTTTCTTCTTTAACATCGCTTAGCTGCATAAATTGGTTTGCTTTAATTTTTTGGCATAATCTCAGCACATAGAAACACGGTGGACGCAAGAAAAACCCTTTTTATTTTCGTTTCTGTAGACCCGTTAGTTGAAGTCTGGACAATAAAGCTTCTATCATATCAGTATAATAGATTGCTTTCCTGTCATGGAAAAGCCTAACAAGAAATTTGTTCTTTATTCAACTGAAGTACGATTTTACATATACGTCTTAGCAAGCATTGTGGGATTATAAGATATTTGTGTTCTTTTGTTGTTATTAGAAAAATCTTTGCTGTATTTAATCTCACAGCTGGGATAATCCTGATCATCCCAGAATAGTGGTATGGTCTTTGTAGTCTTTGCACTAATCGGGAATCCTGTTTTTAGTCTGAGATACTAATGACAAATGAACCAATTGTAAACACATGGAGAGAAAGTCTACAAACTGAAGTCTGCACCTTTACTTAATAGTAGCAATAGTATATTAAGAAAAATTGGTAGACCAAGCCATTGTGTTACAAAACAAATTGTTTTGAGAAGATAGCTAAGAATCTGCACAACTCTTTATCTTTACTACAATGTGAGAAAACTAAATAGAAAGGGAAAATGCGAAATCTAATCGGCACCTTCCTTTACTATAATAACTAAAGATGCTGACTATGTACTTCCTTCAGGAATATGCAATGAAGATTTAGATTGAGATACTGTTTGGGATTCCCTTGCCGGTAAGCCCACCCTCTCTAGAGAAATCTGAGGTGTTGGGATATAGTAAGGTGTATGGCATCTTCACCGGTCCGGTTCTGTTCTTCAGTCTACTGTCATTGTTTCGGTCCATAATTCTACTTTCTATTTCTATCAGCTTCTTTCCAAATCTTTCAAATGCAGCTAACGGTTCAGCATCAGAAGTCCACTCAGGAGAATCCCGCTGCCCAAGGTATATTTCGTCGGCTGAATGCCGGGACAAAACCTCTATAAGGGACACACCAAGTAGAGTTTGGAATTGTGCTGTGATTGTTTTCAGGAAGGCCAAGTCAGGGTCCTTCTCAAGCTCAGCATATTCAGGGGTGCCTGGTTCTGGCATGAAGCGACGGCTAACTGTAGGCCTGTTAGGGAGGTAGCCAGCATAAGGGTATTGTCCGAAATTGACAGCTGCATGGAAAGCAGAAGCCACCCATATGATAATTGTGCATGCTTGGATGAGCTCAGCTCGTGTCTTCATCTCAGGCCACCATGGTTCATCCCTCAAATCACCGTGGCCCTCAGTTCGGATCTCCGCCCACCATGATTGGATTTCATTATCCTCTTTTACTACTTCATCTGATGGGTAGTAGAAAGAGCAATACTCAGTGACCCAAGTTTCAATGGCTGACCAGATTTCTAATCCATCGACAGCATAAGGATAGTCCTGTATCAGAAGTCTGACGCCGCAGGGGCAGCTAGAGTCTGGAACAGCCATCCCTCTGAAATGAAGGGTTTGAAAGTTGATTGCTCAAAAGTCCATTTTGCTAAAGACCAGATAGAGAAACTTTTATCAAAATTCTCGACGGCTTACCTTTTAACTAGATCAAAAGGGAGAGCCTGGTCAGGGAAAACCCAAGTCTTGTAAATAGCAGAGGACATTTCCAGTGCATATCTACCCGGAAAGACTGTCAACTCAAGCACCCCGCCAGCATTGATGAGGGTCTGACGGGCCATAGCATTTATGTTCATTGTGTCACGGAAGTGGGGATGCAGAAGCTTATATATGGGGTGAACCACACTCAACTGTCTATTACTCGCAATTATGAATGGTTCAATTACAGCATGAGTATTTAACCTGCAAACATGGCAAAGTATCATAAATCATAGACAACTGTCTAACTTTTGCTACATGGAGCATGGGTATTTCAGCATCATACCAATGACAGACGAGCTGATGATAGCCAGAATCATTCACAGCAGCATAAGCTTTGGCCAACTGCCAGACTGAACCTTCAACCCCGTCTTCTGCTGGGGTGAAAACTTTGCTGACAGCACCATGTTTCTCGCTTTGCGGATGTGGCAAGCTCAACTCGATTGCCAACGGCTTCAGTGTGTCATCATCTTGCAAGAAGAATAAAGTTCTGGTGGCATAAGTCTTTGTGCTAGTGGAATTTATCCGCCGTAGGTGTGGCATCAATGCATCATGATGATTCAAGATAAACAGTTTTTTTTTTTCTAAAGCCTGAATTGAGAACGACCAAAGCAAACAACAGAAAACAAATTAGTAATCTAGAAAGAAACATTACAAACTGGTAATGCGATACTGCTGCAATGTGATAAAACTAGCAAAACAGACGAAGCGTGAATAGTACTTCTTCTACAGTGAGTCCATTCATGTTCCTCTCAACGTGTTCCTTTGTAATGGTACTTTTTTGGTTCCCATATGTTTTAGGATCAAGCTTGCTGGCTGGGGGAAATTCCTACATACATGTTACAGTTAATTATTGAAGCAGGAGACCACAAACATTTCTCTAGATGAGGAAGAAGAAATATGAGCTAGTTAACAGGAATGTGGTGTTTACTTGGAGCCGACTGATGATAACTGGGTTGACTCCAGCTAGAGTTTCTCGTGCAAACTCTTCATCTGTCCTCCAAGCAGACCTATCCTCTGTAACCACACAAGGCAACACACATAATTTGCAAGTAAAAGTTTGAATATTTAAAGGCAACAAGAATTCATGTAGCAGACCCCAGCTTGTTTGGGATTAAGGCTTAGTTGAGCTGCATTGAGATGCTACAACGCAGCCAAGAAATGCATGGGAAAATTCTTGTATATACCTTTGATCACAGCAGGCATTGGGAATTTCATCAATCTCTCACCATCGTTACGAATAAGTTCCTTGATCATCTCCCAAGGGATGCATTCCCTGATTTTCTTAAGAGTGGCATTATTTGGTAGCTTTACACCACCTTCATAGAGATCAAGTACATCTTGAAAGGAGTCAAACTCATTTATAGTTTTGTCACATAGGGCTGCTATCTCGGGGATCAATATTTGAAACAGAGACTTCAAAGCATAGGCAAGAAAATCTGAAAACTTCACTAGGTTAAATCGTTCATCTCGCGGAACATAAATGTTCAGGCTTAGAAGAAATAGTCTGCTCTCTGTATTGGGATCTGTTAGCATGGGAAAATATAAATTAGATTGCGGATTAAAATATCAAATCAAATGCTGCTTATGCTAAGATTCTAACCTTTCTTGTGTGGTTTCCGACCAGTTCTCCCTCTTCTGGGATATGGACACTGCGATCCACCAAGAATTGGACGTGCATATGATGAACCCTTTTCGGGCATTCCCAAGTCGTTGTAGCAGTCATAAGCATAAACTCTGTCCCATTCTTTGAGTTTTCCTTTTCCATTTCCTCTGAGATTTACCAGTTCTTCTTCCCTATACTTGCGTAAGGGTTCGGGTGTTTGACATGGAAGGTAAGTCTAAGACAAATATAGCAAAGTTTTCTGTTAGTGAATCTGCTTGTTGTCTCGCCAAATCTTAACAAAGAAACAAAATTTTCAATATTGTTGGTAGATTGGAAATATTAATCACATAACCTTTTCACAATGCATCAACTGTTTATATAATTTCACACCTTAACTAACATTAGTTTAGCA